GCGACATGCAGCCGTACCCAAGCACCATGTTGGTCATGCAGCCTGTAAAGCGGGCGAGCGCCCTCTCCGGAGGGACCGCCGCCGCGACGTCCTTGTGCACACGCACAAAGACGGAGGGCTCCCAGCCCCAGTCCTTCCAGCAGCAGCCGACGGGTGACTGGGGCCACTCGAGCCGTGGCAGGCCGCGCACGCCCTTGGGCCGCGGCTTGCGCAGCAGGTCGCGCATGTGGAAGTAGGCCGACACCAGCCGGTCCTCGGGCTGGCGGAACATGGCGACCACCTGTGCGCCCGGCCTCTGGATCCGATCCGTCATGTCGAGGCCGAGCACCTGGTGGCAACCTTGCGGCCAAGTGGTGTCGCGATAGGCAGACCACGGGTAGTCGAGCACCGAGTCGCGGAACGACGTGCCCGTCTTTGGGGGGTGGAGCCACCACAGCGCCCACGCCGCGTTGAGCATCGGCAGCCGCGGAGGCGGAGGCGGAGGCGGAGGCGGCGGAAGCAGCGCCGGAAGCGCGATGCGGCGGCGGAGGCGGAGGCGCTGGCGTCGACTGCCCGGAGAACGCTGGAGAGCATCCGACATCGTCGGGCGCAGCGGCAGGTGGCCGAGTGGCCCGCGTTTTGTGTTCGCTGCGCCGGGGCGCGTGGAGTTCACAGCCTTGTTATCTCTTAAGTGGCGGCCAGAAGATCCGCCCTGGGATCTTCGGCGCAGGGCGCCGTCACCGGCCCCATGAGCCCCCTACGAGGCCATTCAGTGCTCATGTGGCACGACCTGAGCAGGCCTAGCAATGCCTCGGGCCGAGCGGCGCCCAGAATTGTTGGTGCTGGCCAGCAACGTGGCCGGCGAGTGCCGTCGTTGCATTGGTGGCGACCACCGCTGAAGCGGTCAGCAGGTGGGAAGGCATCGCTCTCTTTGTGAGGGTATTGTACGTATTCATTGTCTGGTCAATACTTCTGCCTGGGTGGCACCTGTGTGCCCAACATGGCGACCCGTGGCCTCCCTCGTGAGTCCACCTCGCGCTGATCATTCTCGTCGCTAGCTCAAGCCGAAAAAGTGGTCCACCGACACCAGGAGGAGTACAACCATCATGGCCGCAGCCTCAGACTGACCGGGTTAGGTCATCTTACCGGCTTGGTGGCCCAGAAGCGCGACATTTGCTGCCCGCAGAGCGCTAGCAGCCCACTAGCCGGCACGTCTGTGCGTCGTGCGGGGCTGAACTTCAGGCACTCTGCACGCGGCTTGTCGTCGAGAATAGCTCAACCCCGGCCAGTGAGTGATGGATCTGATCATAATCAATCCCTACTGTGCTGGGGGGCTCTCAGATCAGCCGTTCAGAGCTCTGACATTGGTTCCCGGCAGAAGATCCTCCAGAGGATCTTCTGCCGTCAGCCGAAAACCCGTTTTCAAACGAGACACAATGACCCAACAATGGCCCCCACGGCCCGCCCGGACATGCAGCCGACCCGGCTAGGCCAGCTGGGCCATCGGGGCGGCCACCAGCGGCCGTAGGACCGCGCTGCGGTGCCGAAAGGGGCTGGAAGATCCGCCCTGGGATCTTCGCCACCTAAGAGATAAGCTGTGTCCTTCTCCCAGTCTGGACGTTCTACCTACCTACCTGGACGTGGTCGAGACCGAGGTGTCGAACTGAGAGCCACTCCTGGAGGCTGCCTCCGGCCACCGCTCGACTACCCACGCACATGGCCGGTCCTGTGGCTTGCCTGGGCTTGCTCAGAAGCCTCAATTCGCGCACACCTTTGCTCTCTGGCTCCCGCGAGTGCGTTTAGGCCACTCAAGCAGGCGACGCCGAGCACCCGCAACGCATCTCGCTGGGGATCGACCCGACTGATTGGCAGCATCAAAGCCGACCCCATGACGGTCCTTCAGCCCCATGAGACAGGCAGTTGCGCCCTGATCTCGGTCCAAGACGGCCAACGCCGTGTCCGGCACCTGCTGGCTGCTTCACGGGGATGCCCCACCCCGGACACATGCTGCAGCCCCGAGTGGATGTATTGGTCGTTTGTGGGTCCCACAAGACTACTCTAGTAGGGGCCAGGCGCTTGAGCGTCGGCGGTACACCTGTGCAGATGTTGCACGGGTGAAATGGCTCCTCGTACAGGGTAGGAGGCAGGTGGTGGGTTTGAGTGTCGTGAGTGCTTGCAGCCGCGAGTGTAGCACCGTTTGTGACTCCCATGGATGCAGTTGGGTGGGGCACGGTGCTGGGGGGCGGTCCGGTGCGCCACAACAGCCTCCCTGGCTGACCCCCATCCAGTTCAGCACCTTCCACGTCCTGACCG